TGTGCTGAAATGTGATTTTATTTGTATGTTAATAAATAAAGTTTGCCTGGAGATCAGAGGTCATTAGCGAGTCAGGAATAGAAGTCAGGTGGTGGTAGCCCATGCCCTTAATCAGATCACATGGCAGGCAGAGTCTCTGTGTGTTCAAGGACAACCAAGTGTGGTGACCTGAGTCTTTAATCTCAGTACCAACCATAGAGACCAGGAGGTCTGTATAGACAGGAAGTGACACGGAAGTCATGTGGCTGGGCTTAGAGCCAATGAGAGGGCAGAACAGGAAAGCAATAAAACACAAGACACACAGGAAGAAGGTCCCTCTCTCTCTCTCTTTCTCTCTCTCTCAGGTGAAGCGACGGCAGCAAGGTTGTCAGTTAAGGTAAGGTAGTCGTGGCTCTTGCTCTGATCTCTTTGGCTTTAACTCTGTATTTGGCTCTGTGTTTCCTATTTAATAAGACCGTTTAGAATTTCGTCTACATGCTGCAACATGGATGAAGCTTGGAGATATACAGTAGCAGATATTAAATAATCTCCAAAAGATAGATGCTTGGAGATACCTAGAACACTCGGACTCACAGAGGCAGAAAGCAGAATTGTAGTTGCCATGGACTGGCAGAGGGAACAGGGAACTGTCCCTTCATGAGTGCTGGGCAGCAGTTTTATAAGATAGAAACACTTCTGGAGTTGGATGGCTATAAGTGTTAAACATCAAGTGTCCTGAATGTCACTGGATTGCCCACTTAAAAATGCCTTAGATAGTAAATTTTTTTTTTAATTTAGTTTTTTGAGACAAGGTTTCTGTGTGTAGCTTTGTGCCTTACATTAAATGTATTTTACCACATTTTTGGATTTTACTTTTTTGTTGTTGTCCAAGACAAGATTTTTATACATAACAGCCCTGGATGTCCTGGAACTCACTCTGTCGATCAAGCTGGCCCCGAACTTACAGAGATCCACCTGCCTCTGCCTCTCAAATGCTGGGATTAAAGGCATGTGCCACCACTGCCTGGTGGATTTTACTATTTTTAAAATTGTAATATCTTCATTCTTTCAGATCCTTTCATACACACGTACAATGTATTTTGATCATATTTACCCCCTACTCCTTCCCCCAACTCCTCCCAGGTATACCCCATGCCTCCTTCAAACTTCGTGTCCCTTAAAAGAACCCACAAACTTCAATTTATGCCACCCATATACTCATGTGTGAGGCCATCCACTGGAGGGTGGTTGACCTACTAGGGGTCATACCTCTAAAGAAAACTGACTCTCCTTCTCCCAGAAGCCATCAACTGTCAATAACTCCTTAGCTATGGTGGGAGCTCTTGCGCCTCTTGCCTCTCCATGCTGGAATGCTGATTGGCTTGATTTTGTACAGGCAGCTGCTCTGAGTTCATGAGCACAGCAAGTCCTGTCAAGGCTGGAAGACATTGTTTCACTCCAGTCCTTCTCGATCTCTAGCTCTAAACAATATTATCCTCTTCCACAATGGTCCCTGAGCCTTGAGGGGAGAGGGTGTAATCTAGATGTCCCATTTGTGGTTGTGTACTCCAATGACACCTTTCTCTGTACTTTAGTTAACTGCTGTCCACTGCACAAAGAATCTTCTCTAATGAGGTCTGAGAGCTGTACTAATCTATGGGTATAAAGACATGAATTTAGAGGGCAGTTTGATAATATGTTCATTCAGCAAAATAGTTGAAGTAGTGTCACCCCTAAGTCCTAATACCTCCCTAGCCATGGGTTCTTGGCCAGATTTACAGTAGCAGACATGTGTTCCCATCTATGGATTAGGCCTAAAGCCAACTAAAGAGTGATTGGTTACCCCCATAAGATTTAGACCACCATTGCACCCATGGACAGTCATTATTGTAGCACAGAGAATTCTCAGCTAGGTAAAAATGTTGATTCCTCTCCCACTTGGAGGCTGTATAGCACGCTCTAACACTGTGAAATCTATCTAGAATCAAGGAAGCTTCTTGGTCAGTATCATCTAGATTCCTCCGTGTCCTGTGACGAAAGTATGTGATGTCTTTAGCAATAGAGTTTTACCATTAAGTGCCTGTAGGCAAACAAGAGTAAGAGCAATAGCCTGCATTGTTTGGGAGGTCTCCAGGACACCTAACAATTTCAGGAGAGGTGTCCCACACCTGGTTCAGGGCTTTTGACTTAGCAATTGTGGCTTCTGAGAAGAGTATCATCCTTTGTGTAGGGTAATTCAATTAAACTCACTTCTATCTTTCTATCTATCTATCTATCTATCTATCTATCTATCTATCTATCTACCTTTTAAAAAATCTTTGGTTTCTCTATGCCTTTGTCCAAACACCCTTAGTATTGGTTATCTGTATCCTAAACCCCTCCTCTTCTGTACTCTTCCATCCTCTCCTCACTTAAACCTCTCTCCCCATTTCCCCCTTTCTCCTTTATATACCTAAAAAAAAAAAAAGAAAATAGTCTCACTATGTTGCCCAGGCTGGCCTTGAACTCTGGGTTCAAATAATCCTCTCAGCCTCTTTAGTAGCTGAGATTACAGTCAAGCACCACCATGCCAGGTTCAGATCGCTTTTTTTTTTCCTTGCTGGAGATGAAACCAACGCTTCATGCATGCTAATCAATACTATACCACTGAACCACACCCTTAGCTCCTGTGACGATTTTCACAAAAGCTCATTGTCCTCTTACATACAAGATTAGCTTATTCTAGAATATTTAATGCATAAATGTTTGTACAGTGTATACGTTAACATGCTTGTGATAGTAACATTTCATGAAGGGTGACAAAAAAAAATCAACTTCCTGAAGGGTTTAACTGAGCATATGATTTGGGGATGAGTCTATCATGACAGCGAGGCACAGCAGCAAGCAGCAGGCACAGGAAGCTGTAAGCTCACATTCTCAAGCCCAAGCAGGAAGCAGAGAGAGTTGAACTAGACACGGCGCACGGCTTTTTAACCTCAAAGCCTTTTCTCACTGACATACTTCCTCCAGCAAGAATGCACCCTCTAAACCTCCCCAGACAGTGCTACTAATTGGGGACAAAGTTTTCAAGTGCCTGAGACCATGGAGAACATTTCTTATTCAAACTGCCGCAGGAATGGATTAAGGGAAAAAAATCTGAAAGAGCTCTTGGAAAGGGAAAAATAATAGAAAACGGACAATACTCTCTTTTTCTATGAGCCTGGGTTCCATATTCTAGTCAAGAAGAAACATATCTCCAGGTGAGGCTGGAAGATCAAACGTGGAGTTATCTAGTACAGCTCTGTGAACAGTTTTGGTATTTGCAGCCAGATATTCCTTTGATATGGAAGATATTTCCCTGTACCAAGTAGAATGTTTAGCAGCCTGCCTGGCCAGGACCGACTAAAGGCCAGGCCTGCTCTCTAGTCAGTGATGATACTGCTGCTGCTGCCCTTGCAAAATGGCCCCTGGAGGTAAAATGTCTTCTCCAGCTTCACAATTAGAGTTAGTCACAAGTGGCGTACAGAGGCCAGTGTCAGTGCTTACAAACCCAGCTCTGGTATTTCAGCCCTGACAGGTACTGCCCTGCCTATGACGCCTGTATGGTTGCTTCATATTGTTGAAACAACCTTTTCAACAAAGGAATGCAATGCGCTCTTATAATGCATGCAAAAGAATTCATATTTCTGTTGGTAGTTCAAGAATCTTATGAAGAAATCAAAGTTTCAATCCCTTGGGCAGGATACAGAAGGGAAGGAACAAGAATTGAAGGCATACTCTTCCCAATGTGGAGGACAGAATCTAGGGTCTGCCTCCAGCTAAACCAGTACTTTACTACTGAACTGCATCCCAGCCTGGGCTGTGGCTAATATTTCTATTTTAGAGATCATATTTAAATGACAAAACAGAGCATTATATTTATTATTCAACAGTATCTATGAGGAAAACGCCTGTCTGTCACTGAAACACAACGGAGATGATATAGGATTGTTTCTCTCTCATGGGGCTTAAGATGCCTTTGGGGTATAAGACACACACATTCATGCAGTAGGCAGTACAATGTAGTTGCAGATGCAGGTTGTAATGAGACCCATAGAAAGAGGTAACAACACATGTGGGCTCTGCTTCAGGGTTGGAGAACTCCTTCCAACATTCGTGTACTCTGTGACCTCAGAATGTGACCTTTCAGTAGCATCTTTGAAGATGCAGTTTGTTGAGACCATCCTGGTCTAGGGTGAGTCTCAAATACAGTGACTGGTGTTCTTTCCAAGAGGCCTTGTGAAGGCAGAGGCTGCTGGAGTGAAAATGGTCTACAAGCGGGGGTGGGGGGCGGGTACAGAGACAAACCCAGAGTCTGCAGAGAGTCAGTCGTGCAACAAGTTACCCCTCTGAGCCCTCAGAATCAACCAATCCTGCCCTGCAGACTGCTGAGAATACCTGAGTGTTGTCTTAACCCTTCGGCCTTGTGACATCGTGTTTTCTACAAAAGCCACATAACTAAGGAAGCTTTCATCCAGAAGCTGGCTGCTAAAGAAAGACAAACTATGGATACAGAGTAGAAAGGGTAGCTGGGTGATGGTGGCGCACAACTTTAATCCCAGCACTCAGGAAGGAGGCAGAGGCAGGTGGATCTCTGTGAGTTCAAGGCCAGCCTGGTCTACAGAGTCAGTTCCAGGACAGGCTCCAAAGCTACAAAGAGAAATCCTGTCTCAAAAAAACAAAAACAAAAAAAAGAAAGAAAGAAAGAAGGAAGGAAGGAAGGAGGAAGGAAGGAAGGAAGGAAGGAAGGAAGGAAGGAAGGAAGGAAGGAAGAGAAGGTGATGGGAGACTCTTAGGCAAATAGCAAGAAAGCAACCCTGCATTTCCAGAGCACAGGGCTCTAGAGACAGCATCTTTGCAGAGGTCGTGCCCCTGTGTAGAGATGGTTTATGCTGAGGATGTGTGAGAAATGACCAGTAGTCTATAGAAGATGGTTCATCCTGTCTGCAGTTACCCCCCAAAAGGCAGAGAGTGCGGCTTCTAACCCAAGGAAGAAAACTCACCTCCCAGTGTGGCCTGTGGATTTCTGCACCTGATTTATCTTCTGTTCCCTCCTACACTGCTGCCACTTCCTGCTGAAAAACATTTCACTTTGTCTTTGTTGTCGCTGGATATGTTTTATTCATGCCATCGTGGTGGTTTGTTAGTGAATTAATTCTGCCTTCGAGGACGGCGGAGATGGAACCTTCCCTTTGTGTTCCTGGGAACAAACCACGTAGGCTTTTGAGCTCAGCACACTGGAGCTTCTGAGAAAGGAGCGAGCGAATACGGCTTCTTAGGGGCAGCTGTGTGGGAAAGGCTGGACCTCTTAACTCATTCATTAGCATGTTTGGCTCAAAGAATGCACAGGAAAGTGAAGAATCTGTCATCTGTGTCTCATTTGGGATGGAATAAAGTTATCTTTGCTGGAATTGTTATTTTATCATTTTGAAGTTGCTCTTTTTTCTCTTTTTAAAATGCTATTTTAAAAATGTATTTATTTGGGCTGGAGAGATGGCTCAGAGGTTAAGAGCACCGACTGTTCTTCCAGAGGTCCTGAATTCAATTCCCAGCAACCACATGGTGACTCACAGTCATCTGTAATGAGATCTGGCACCCTCTTCTGTATACATAATAAATAAATAAATCTTTAAAAAATGTATTTATTTTATTATTTTATGTGTTTGGGTATTTTTCCTGCATGTATGTCTGTGTACCACATGAATGCCTGGTGCCTGAAAAGGCCAGAAGAGGGCATCAGATCCCCCCCGGACTGAGTTATTGTGAGGGACCATGTGGGTGCTTATTGTGAGGGACCATGTGGGTGCTGGGAATTGAACCTTGCTCTCTGAAAGAAAAGCCATTGCTCTAAACTGCTGAGCCATCTCTCTAGCCCTCCTTCCTTTCTTTTCTAAAAAGTGCTGTTTATTTTTGGGGGAGGGGGGCTGCCTGTGGGGTTAGGTGTGGTGGCACATGCTTATAATTCCAGGAGGCAGAGGTCATCTCCAGACACTTAGTAAGGTTGAGGCCAGCCTGGGAAATAGAGACTATCTCAAACAAAACAAAACAAAACACCTGTGGCAGGCAGGAGCCATGGCTCGGTGGATAAAGTACTCGCCATGTAAGAGGGAAGATGAGAGTTTGGATCCCCAGCACTCATGTTAAGTGGTGGGTGAGTGTGGCAGCTCACCAAAAATCCAGTTCTCTGGAGGCTGAGACAGGGGATCCCAAGGCTACCTGCTAACTAACTATATACTAACTGAATCCATGAGCTTCCAACTCAGTGAGAGACTCTGCCTTAGTAAATAAAGTGAGAGCAATCAAGAAAAATGCCTGGTGTCAGCCTCGGGCCTCCACATGCACATATGTGCTCTCACACGTGCAAACACACATACACACATATACATGTAAAAGGACACCCTCCCCCTCCAAAAAAAAAAAAAAACAAAAAAACAAAAACAGTGTGGGGAGCAGCCCTCAATGGCACGGCCAGAGCAAGGTTTGCAGTTCTAAGCTCTGACTGCACTGTAAGCTGCTTTTCTTTCTAAATCCAGTCCTCTAGGCTTGATTCCACATTCTTGCAGAGCTGACGCAGGGTTTTGGTCCCCAGCACCCTGGAGCACCTTGATGACCGGAAGCAGTGTGAGCAGTTGACACATCTTAGACTTTGGCACCACACAGACCCTTGCCTCTGTCTCTGGCTTACCACCGGATGTCTGTCAACAATGAATCTCAGCTTCGGCCTCTTCTGTCAACTGCAGCGGTAATTGCTGTGGCCAGTCGGAAGACAAGAAGGGGGAGGTGCTCAGTACAGGTGACTTCCAGCTCCTGCTTTCAGTTCAACTTCACCGCAGGCAGCAGCAGCTGCACTGTGAGGCTGCAGCAGTTTTCTTATGAGACAGTGTAGCTCCAAGGGTTTGTCAGATGACGAGATGTATATTTTGTCCCCAGGACGTCTAATGTCTAGTTTTGAACTTCATTTTTTTCTTTCTGAGACAGGGTGTCTCTGTGTAGCCCTGGCTGTCCTGGAACTCACGCTGTAGACCAGGCTGGCCTCGAACTCAGAGATCCGCCTGCCTCTGCCTCCCGAGAGCTGGGAATAAAGGTGTGCGCCACCACCACCTGGCTAACTTCATTCATGTTTATCTAAGAACAATCAAGAAAATAAGCTTCACATCTTTTGGATGCTTGTGTGATTAAGACGTCACTCCTTGCTTAGGTAAATGATGTGAAGAAGGATGGGCGATCAGAAGGGCAAAGTGACCAAACAGGGAGATACTACTTCCTGTTGGAAAATAATTGGTCTTCATACGAAAAGAGATTTTGTTTTGTTTCCATTTTGTTGTTTTTAAGGTGAACAGTGCATTATCTGAACAAACAAGGTTATAAGGCAGTTTCCTCGAATCTTGAGGCCACACGTTTGATCTTTCCCAAGCTGTTTTCGCCTGACAGTTCAGGGAAAATATTTAGGATGGTCATAGTCTTTGTATGCAGATACTGTTTTATACTCTGCTATACTAGGAATTAAACCTAAGACCTTGCACTTGCTAGGCAGGGCCACACGATTGCCTAGTCTGTCCTTGTACTTTCTCAGGAGCCTAAGAAGTACTTGAACTCATGATCTTCCTGCTTCAGCCACCCAAATAGATATGATTGCAGGCTTATGTCATCAGGCCTAGCTCTCTTTATGCACACACATACCTGCTCTTCCCTTTACTCTTAAGTCATGATTCTCTTGAATGTAATGACAGCTGGTAACTGTGGTTGGATTGGCCAGCATGACAACAATTACACTAGAATTTATGCTTGAGAGCACATGTATTTATCATAGTTGCCCACAGTGACTACTGGTCTTGTCTCAAGTGTGTGTGTCTATGCACATGTATGTGAACCAAGGACGAGGTGGTTGCTTCCTGTGGAGCTGAACTGTCCAAGTTAAAAACTTGGTCTCACTTCTCAGATTTATTTATTTATGTATTTTATGTGTATGGGTACTTTGTCTTCATGTACATCTGCACATGAGAAGACAGCATCAGACAGTTGTGAGTTGCCATGTAGGTGCTGGGAATTGAACTCAGGACATTTGGAAGAGCAGTGAGTGCTCTTAACCACTGAGCCATCTCTTCAACCACCTTGGTCTCATTTCATAACTGGACAATTTCTTTATCCATGTTAGTCTTAGTTCCCACAGCTGTGCATGAGCTCACCACACATGGCTATGACGAGCGGGAGATAATCCATGAACAATAACAGAACCTAGCAGAGAACACTGTTGTCGTCATTCATGGAGTCTTAAGTCCACTCACATTGTCACTGACATTGTAGTTCAAATTCTTTGATCTCAGCGATAAACGTTTTAATCTTTTGGGGGACAATTCTGTAGATAATGCTGTGGTTCTAATTACAACCACATGCTTTTTTTTTTAAATGTACATTGTCTGGGCTAATACATATCTGCTTTAATCCATTCATGTTGAGAGCCAGGGAGACATCATTTTGCCCCTATAAAAATGATCTATTTTGTGTTTAGACATTGCTCTGGGTTTTGAGATGTTGCATTGAGTGAAGAGTGTGCCATGAACAGCATTGCCATGTTAATGCATAATGTGCAGAACTGCCCAGAGCTGGGCCAGGTGACTGGTTGCAGCATGGAGTTTCATTCATGTTGCAGATTTTGATAATGAGTGCATTTTATACTTCTGTCGTCTAATAAACAGACCATGAGTTGTGATGAAAGTGTCTCAATTCCTTCCCTCATTCATTAGCAACACATTTCACCATTTCAAAGAGGAAAACAATAGTACTGAGTATATCACACAGGAAATCATCACCAATGTAATTATGTTGTATTCTTGATAGCCTTTGTCATTTTGGATTAAACAGATAAAATATAAAGCATATTATTCAGTGTGAAAAGTATCACAGGTTTAAGAATTGAAACATGTCCAAACAAAATATGCAGATCAAAAGTGCATGATGGCTGGTTAGAGGCGGGATTTAGAAATACCTAAGATACACTCAGTGTGGTAGGTTAAATAATCATTCCTTAATCCCTGGAATTTTCAAGCATCACCTTGTGCAGAACTTCTGTGCATATGACTAAGTAATGAAGAGATTAATTGTGGGTTATCTGGGGATCCTCAGTGTAAGTGTATGTAGTTCTTTTAAGAAAGAATAGAGGGAAATTTGACTACCTACAAAGGAGAAAGTGGTGTGAAGCTAGAGCAGAGAGTGTGAAGATGCTGGCCTTGAAGAGCTGGTGGCATGGTCACAAGCCAGGGAATGTTGGGAGTCACCAGAAGCTGGAAGAAGGAAACAGTCTCCTCTAGAAGCCTCAGAGGAAGTGTGGTCCTGCTGACACTTTAGCTTTGGCCTACTGATACTGATTTTGGATTCCAGCTTCTACATTTATAAGAGATTAAATTTCTGTTGTTTTAAGATCTCAGATCTGAAACAGTAGCCTCAGGGGAAAAAAATACATTGTCATTTTAGACTAAAGACAGGAAGGACAGCCACTCACTTCTTTGTCAGTCTTCTTTTGGAATGATACTCCTTGGTTTAACCATGTCACTTTTGACTTATAGTCCCTATTTTCCTTTTCATTTTATCAGATGTCAGTGGCATATAAGTTTTCTCTCTTGCTTTTCTTTTTTTATGTGTATGGGTGTGTATGTCTGTGGGCCACATGTCTGCCTTGTTCCTGAAGAGACTACAAAAAGGCATTGGATCCCCTGGGACTGGAGTTACAGACAGCAGCTGTGAGCTGCCATGTGGGTGCTGAGAATCAAACCTGGGTCTTTTTTTTTTTTTTCAGATTTATTTTTTACGTATGCCTGTGCACCAGAAAAGGGCAGCAGATCTCATTGCGGATGGTTGTGAGCCAACTTGTGGTTGCTAGGAATTGAACTCAGGACCTCTGGAAAAGCATCCAGTGCTTTTTTTTTTTTTTTTTTTGGTTTTTCGAGACAGGATTTCTCTGTGTAGCTTTGTGCCTTTCCTGGAACTCACTTTGTAGACCAGGCTGGCCTCGAACTCACAGAGATTTGCCTGCCTCTGCCTCCCGAGTGCTGGGATTAAAGGCATGTGCCACCACCGCCCGGCACATCCAGTGCTCTTAACCTCTGAGCCATCTCTCCAGTCTAGGTTTTTCTTTTAAAATGATGACTTGTGTGGCAGGTTGGTGGTAGATGAGATGGCGATCTCCCTTTTGCTCCCACAGACATCTCAGATGATTTTGATGCATGTATTAAGTTGTAAGGCATTCATCAAGTAAAGAGTGCAAAAGTCCAATGGTGGCCTGTATCATAATTATATATATTCTAGTAACATGCTTACCTGTATTGTTGAGATCTATGAACTTTTCCTTCAATAATGAGAGAAATAAGCAAACACTTGATGTTTTATTTCCTTTTTCCATGGGCTCTATGGTGACCCAGTAATTTTTAAGACTTTGACATTGGACATTCTCTTCACCTGTCAACAACACTGATGAAACGTTCAGCGATATCACCCATCCTTTACAGTAAGAGCATCTGAAGATCTGTGTTGATTGACATAGTTTCTAAACTCCAAGTACATTTCATGAACTTGTCTGTGTTGTGGGATATTTACACACTGTGTGAAGATATATTCGCTGTGTCTGGTGGGAAAAAAAAAAGCTGAATGGCCAAATAGCTAGGCAGGAAGAGGTCAGGCAGGACTTCCAGAGACAGAGAGGACTCTGAGAAAAAGAAAGGCAGTGTTGCCAGCCAGACATGGAGAGGAAACAGGAGGTGCAAGATGAAAGAGATGTAACACCACATGGCAAGATGTAGATTAATATAAATGAGTTAATTTAAGTTATAAGAGTGAGTTGAGCTAAGCCTAAACTAAAAGCCGAGCTTTCATAATTAGTAAGAAGTCTCTGTGTCATTATTTGGGAGCTGGCAGTACAGAGAACGACCTGCTACATGTCTGGTCTTTCCAAAGTTTTAGAGACACATTTGAACATAATATATTATCTATTCTTCAGACTAGATCCTTTCACAGAGAACTAATATGGTCCACTACATTTAGATCCCTCCTTTCTTCTCAGAACATAGCTTTACTTCGAAGTATTCATGGCTTTAGGTACGGTCTAGATGTGACAACTGTAACTTTCATCTCTGGCCGCATCTCCACAACTTCAGATTGATAGGCAGCTGTGTTCCTGTCAGACATCTTTTCTGATGTCCAGAAGTGGTCTCTAGTTCGACCCAGTCCATCTCCATCACACACTACTACAGTCCAGACATCTATTTGCTGACTTGTCTGTAATCATTGACTTAGTTCCCAAGGGCAAGGTGAAGGCCATGTTAGGTTCCAAAGCTCCCTGGCACCGACCTAGGCCCGTGGCTGGCAAATGCTCCCTGGTAAGGAATGGGCACAGCCACCCAGTTGCACCTGCTTTGCTGGAGTTTCACTTTAGTGCACGTGGTTGCCCTGGTCCTTTGCACACAACCTAAGTGGTCTATTTGCCTGACGGAGGTATAATGGCCTTCACAGTGGACTCTTTCTTCTGCTCTTGTTTTGCTTGAGGCACGGTCTCACGGTGTGGTCCCGGCTGTCCTGGAATTCACTATGCACATCAGCCTGGCCTCTAAACCCCAGAGGTCTGCCTGCTTCTGCCTCATGAGTTTTGGGATTAAAGCGTGCGCCACCATGCCCAGCAGCCCCGACCATTCGAAGGGCGGTGGGTTCTCTGAGGAGCTACGAATCCCTCAGCCCTAACTCTTCAGGGGTCAGGCCGGCCCAGCAATGGCGACGCGGGCTTCTCTCCGAGGTGAAGCAGTGATTGACAGCGAGGCCAACACAGTCCGTCAGGGTCACGCCGCGCAGTCGTGTCGGGGGGCCCAAGGGGTGGCGGGCCACGAGCTGTGCAACGGGCCGGTGTCGGGCGCCCTGCCGACGTCACTTCCGGCCGGAGCCAAGATGGCAGCGGCGCGGCCGCGGACGCCGGAGCGACGGCGGCGGCGGCGGCGTCTCTGGGCTCGCTGAGGGGCTGGCACGTCGCTCTCCGGTGAGGAGCGGCGCAGCCTGGGCGGGCGGGCCGAGCTCGGGGCGGAGGGACACCGCCGCTCGGTGTCGGTGAGGAGCGTGGCCACCGCGGCGGGGGCGGCCGGGCCGGGCGCTGAGGGGACCGCGGGGCGGGTTGACGCGCCCCCTCCGGGCTCCCTCCGAACCGCTGGGGACCGGTGGCGAAAGCTGACCGAGGCGGGCGGGCGGCGGCGCGAGGCTCCCGCCCTGCGGCGCTCCAGTCCCTGCGGCCAAGTTGGGGGTCCGCTTTGTGGCGGGCGCGGCGGACTCGGGGTGCGTGGCTGCGGGCTTGGCCGGGTCCGCACGTGGGCCCCGGGCGGTCCCCATCGGCGGGGCTGCGCTCCTCTCGGCTCTTTTGTGTCCCGGCTGAGTGTCTGAGCGCAGTCTGCATCCCCGACTTGGTTCGGGGTCGCGAGTCTTTTGTGTTTCCCCGGGCAGTTTCTGTGTGCTGTAAACCTGGCCATGGTCTCCCTGAATGTTCCCGTCGACCCCCTGGTGCGTATGTGCGTGTGTCACAGGTGTGCACTAACATACATAGGACTGGTTTGGGTTAGTCAAAAGATCGGTCTACCCTGTCTCTGAGGATGACAAGTGAGACCCGAAATTCACCTAACAGGTCAGTGATCTTCCTCGATCCACGCGTGAAGCACCAGCCCACGGCCTGGTACCTTTGGATCGGGCCTCGAGCAGGGGGAACAATCCCACAGATAACCGGGAAGCCCCGTTGTCCCTTACTACGCAGCTGGAATTTGCACCTGGAGAAATGCGGTTCTCCCCCCACCTCCCCCAATGTTTCATATATTGAGGATTTGGGTGTATTTGACCTGTGGACTTCCTTTTGCTGAATCGCAGGGCCTTGCCCTTAGGACCCTTTAATCAAACGCTGGAATGTTTGTCTCTAAAACAAAATGTCCCCAGGACATGACTGAAATGTATCTCAAAGTTTTTGTTTACTTCGGGATTATTGTTTAAAGTAACATTTTACAGCAAAGGGAACCTACCAGTGGTTCTCACCTACAATAGCGCAGACTACAGTTTCATCAGCCCTGCCTATGATGGTATTAAAAAAGGGGTTTAGGAAGTTTGCATCCAGATATTAAGGAGGAACTGAGTCATTATTATGTTGTTTTCTTTTCTGTAGCATTCTGTTTTTGAGATCGAATGTAGCTGCCACTTTCCAGGCTTTCTTACAAACACTTGGTAAAAAAATCTTTTCCATGTGAAATTTCAACTTAGCTTTGAAGACCTTTATAGATCATTTTATAAGCCCCTTTTATTTCAAGCCATGGGAATAGAGCTGTAAACCCATTGTTGGAAGCAACACCCAGTTAGTTGCATTTGGTGTTATTTCAGGGCCTTTTTTTTTTTTTTTTTTTTTTTTCATTAAAGCCGTTGATGCATTTAGGAAAGTTGGTAGACCCAGGGATATAACGATAATCCTCAATGAATGTTTGCTGTTTGTTGATGGAAGAGTTGGCTTCATTTAGGTTTGATTTTTATTTTCTACACAGTGCTCAAGATAATAAGGTACAACTTTGTAATAATGTATTAGCTCTGTAAGCACAAAACAGCAAAATAGTCTCACTGTAAGACAGTGGGGAAACAGAGAAAAACACAAAGAAGGAATAGAAACCAGCCATAACCTTCCGCCTCCACAGATAGCCATTGTTAACATTGTAGCAGATTGTCACCAGTCCCTCATGGTGTGCCTGCTTGTGTTTCTTTATGCATACATATTTATTCATAGAAGCATTCACTTCTGTGTTGTATTTTATACAGAATTGATATGTTGTGTGTATTGATGTAGCTTGTCTTCCATTATGCTGTTGTAAGTGCATATCTATGGCGTTAACTGTTCTTCAATTGGATGTTTAATGGCTGTCTGATATGTGGATGGGCTGTCATTTATCAACCAATTCCACATTGATCTGTAAGGCTTCTAAAGCCTGACATTTTCTTTTCATTAAAATTTGTCTTTTCTCTATGATGAACTTTAAAATTCTGTAGTTACCTAAGATGTAAAAACTGGAAAATCTGCTTTTTAGCACCTGTCTACGCATTTTTTGTTTTCGCTACCTTTCTAAGAAGTAACAGTCCATTTCAACTGTTTTCTCTGTGGCATCTGTGTAGCTCACATGCATACGCTTTCTTTTGATGATTATTTTACATTTGCTCTTTATTTATTCATGGGACTATTTCTTCAGAATGCTGATATCTTTTCAAGTTTAGATCTGACTTAGAAACCTGCAGGGTTTGTTAAATCATAGTTTTCGGGTGGAAAGCACCTTGGATTATTTTCTATTTTCATGTCTTCTGCTTAGCTCCCTGTTAGTTTTAATACACATACAAGGGGGAAAAAACCCAATAGCAAATCTGCAGCCTTCACCAGATAACTCCATAGTGGAAAGTGAAAGCGTATGTGGACGTTGAAGAGGGTATGTCAAACTTACATGCAGAGAGCATCTACAGGGAATTCTGGATGCAGGAGTAAAGTACCTGCTGAGCATGACTTCTGCTCCCGCACACTTGTGTTTAGTGCTTCATAACTGGTGTGCTGTCCACCAGCAATTACAGCGCCTGGTGTCATATCTGGTGCTTGCCTTTTGAAGTTAGAAATTTTTAGTTAGACCCATAAAAAATGGTTTTCACAGAGCAGGCCAGGGAAAGCTACAGAGTCTGTTAGTAGGACTGGTATATTTAGTTCCAGCAAAACATTGTTTTTCAGCTACTGTACTGTTGACATTTGTACTGAATTAGTCTTTGTTGGGGGCATCTCTCTTGTCCATGGTGGAATGCTTAGCAGCTTCCCCACCCCACAAAGTGGCAGTGGTTCCTTGCTCAGTTACAAGCCATGAAGTCACCAGACATTACCAGGTGTTTATTGGGAAACAAAATTGCATGATTCTCAACTACCTCATTAAATGAAAGTTTCTTTGCTGGGTGATTGAATCACAGAAGCAGTTATGGCTTCTCAAAGAACTCTAAGAATAGATGTTATGGTTTATACCTTGAAGAAGGGAATGGGCTTCCTATCCACATTCCTTTCAGCATTTGCTTTTGTGAATACAGAATAACTCACTTTCTGCAGTTGAACATTGGCATCGTTTTGTGGCAAGAGATGTGTGTGTGTGTGTGTGAGATAGCCTGGAGATTATGAAGTTTTCATGACATGGGATCAGCATTCCCAGTATGCAGATTAAATTATTATGAAATTTAAATAAATTTGCATAGAGTTGATGGATGTTGAATAATTTAAGCATTTGGTCTGTCATGCTGAATAGCACAGAAATAACTCTTCTAGAAAAATGAGACTTGAAGCAACTCCTTGAAGATTGAAGATTGATGATGAAAGCCAAACTACTTTTTTCTAAAAATCTCCTTTTTTTTTCCTCCTTAAAAACAACAAACAAACAAAAAAACCCAACCAGTTTGGAGTTATGCTCAGAAACTTGTCCTAAGGAAAGATCTTACTTTTGCAATGCTTACCTGACTTCAGTGCATTACATTTTAATGGTAGGTAATTGATCATGGGAAAAGTGTCATTAATGGCACCTTCCGCTGAGAGAGAAATATGTCTCCCAAGTCTTATTCTTAATCATTCTAAGTAAAGATTGTATTGCTTATGGTTCTTTTTTATTTAGTTAGTTTTGGTTGTGAAATTATATTTAGTCAGAATGCACCATTAAATAAAACATGAAAAAAAATCTACCATTGGAGCCATATTTGGTAATGAGTGTTTTTTTCTGAATTATAGGAATATCTGAATAATTCCAGTGCAGTGGATGCATGTATCATTTAAATATTTTTTCTTAAAGGGAATGCTTTTCCTTCTCTACTCCACCCCCTTGAAGCATGAGTTAGAGTCATAGTATATAGTAAACCCAGTCACTACAATGATAAATGCTTTTTTTGTTGTTGTTAATTATACTATACAAGTAGTAGTTATTCTTGGAATCTTGGTTCATGTCATACCTATACTGTGTTCTCATTTCTAGCCCATTGGAATGTGCAATAAAAAAGTTTGAGTGAATCTATATATTCCAGGTATTTTGGTGAGAATTATTTTGTAGCCCTTTCAATAAATCACATGTTAGGCTTTGCTTTAAAAGAACTGAATTACTTCTTGGCACAGCTTGTCTGAAATATGTAAAGCTAAGTGGAAATGTTAGCTTGATTATTGTGGGCAGCCCATCTGGAAATTGGTAAAACCTACATATTTTATATGTACTTACATGTAGGTTTTCTAAGACTTCATTAAAGTCTCATGAGAAGTTAATTTAAATGATGGTTTCAAAATTTGAACAGAATTGTGAGATTCCCCAAACCTGTATATACTTGAGCATGAATCCGGTATATTTCCTAAGACTGTATTCGGACAATGTATATTAAGCATATTTTGGAGACTATAAAAATGACATTCAGATTCATTCTCTGAGGTTTAAAGACTTTGCCATAATTCAGCAAGTCTTGGCTTTAAGATACACTTGCAAATAGAACCTCTGAAAAGGAAGGCTCTTGGAGGTAAATTTAGATGCTCAGTTGTAAAGCCTTTTTCCCCACGATAGAAGACATGGAGATAGTGTATGCATAGAGCCCTACCTCAGTGCACAGAATGACAGGATCACAGGACCCCACAGCTGTGTATATGGTGGTGGTATATGTGAGGGGATATAGGTAGCATCTCTTCCTTCCCCTTAATGTTTGCAGAGTGGGGACAAATAATACTTTTTCCTTTCACTGGGGTATTTTGAGCTGAATAGGTAAAGAATATGCAAGTAGGGCCAGCAAGATGGCTTAGCATGTTAAGGCTCTCCAGGACCCAGTAGTAGAAAGGAGGGTACCCAGGGGTTATCCTTTGACCTGTGATGCCTTCACACACACACACAAAACACACACAATGTGATTTAAGAAAGTTTTAAAAGATGCAAGCAGTTTAATGTTTTTGAAAAACTAACATTTTTCTTAGCTATTTCCAGTGCAGTAGGTCTTGAGAGATAATGGGAGGTTGTTGAGAGAATTGTCCTTAGGTTTTTTGACCCCTCCCTCCCCCGAGACATAGCACAGGAGGTGACTACTCCACAGAGTCAAACCCTGCATCTTCTCCCTATGGACATATTTTCCCTCTGGACAGTCCCCTTTCTTGGGGCACCCCAGTGAGACTAAAAATATCTGCATCTCCGTCTCTGTCCTCCATGCCAGTCTGCATGGAGACCAGTTTTCCCCTTTGACTGATGTAGCTTTCTTTGGGAAGGTCTGCCCTCTTCCGAGCATCAGAGGCCAACATGGAGTTCACCACTTTCCACTTCCTTCCCATCTCTGTTCCTGACTGCTCTGTTTTTAAATGTCTTCCATAGCCCTCCCTGTTAGTCACCTTCCACATTTTTGATTATTTCCATCTCTTCTTGTTTCCTGTTAGGTTGGTCACCATGTTCTGCTTGTTCTTCCACTGTGGTGTGGATGCTTTTTTGTATCTTTCCAGTTATCTTGTCTGGTTC